TGGCTTGGTGGGACTGCATTTGCAGCGTGAACAGAAAGGAGAACTATTTTAGTTTGATTTTGCTCGAGCTGACGAGTGCTCTACACGCTGCGGGCCTTGCAGTGTTTTTTTGCTAATTATGTTCCTTGGCAAAGCATGAAACACACGATGTCCATAAAGGTATCATCAATTATTAAAATATTTCAGTTGGGACCGCAGTGTGAGCTGGGTCAATTCAACAATCCGGTCGTGTGAAGATTATATATTTTTTGCCGTCCGAGGCTCATTCTCACGCGATGTCCATCGCACCGAGATTTGAGAGCCCTAAGTGCCTGCCAACATCACTGCCGTGATTATTTCAATTGCTTCTGTCGTGCAGCTGCTGAAGATCGCCAAGTCGTTTCGCTCGTGGCAAACACTTTTGTATTTCACGTGACTCCACCATTAAAACCACGCAGTTTCACGCCGCTGTCTCATTACGATTCTTCAAAAACGGTCGATACTTTTACGGACATCCTGCACCGTGCGAGTGTAGTTGTACTCTGCTCTTTATTCAAACGTTGTCCGACGGAACGCAGTCGATCCCCGTTAAAAATGTACGCACGGCCGTGCCAAAACAGGCGTAATGCAGGCGGCGAGGATGCATATTCTGTGTCAACACATAATTGATGAGACCTCGAACGAGAGGGTACACCTCGACACAAAGTGCCCACGATACTTCTACACACTCGCACATGCTCAATGCATTCACCGTTAAAAGCAATGTCTGATTTTTTTGCTTGGTTCTCCCATTTTTTTTTAGATTGTACGTAGGTATGTTGAACTTTCGCACCGTACGTAGCCAACCGTGATAATCGGAGGTGGGGGGTTAAGGCAACAAACTCGACACAAAAAGCAGCTCTAAACAAATTAGTTTTCAATCTACATTTAAAAGTGCAATAGCTCCAGTGGCGTCCCAACATCGTGAGGAAGAGCGTTCCAGACGGCCGCAATGTGCATCTGAAAGCGCGCGATGCGGTGACCGTCTTTTGTTAGATGGCCAGTCAAAAGCAAGAATTGTGTTCACACACAAACATTGGATTTAAACCCGCAGGTGTTGGCATCTGTTTGAGAAGGAAGTACAATTGTGTGTGTGGGTTTTTTTTTTTGCTGCTATTTGGTGCATAGATACCCGGCGTGGTATAGCATGTGCATCACGAGTCTGGGGGCGCTCATCCATAAAATGTCATCTGCGCTTTATTCTCACGCCGCTTGCTCCGCAGTAATTACGCCGAGTGCATTTTGGGCAGCACACGTGGTGGATGCTCTTTCAGAAATATTTGCGTGCAATTCGGAGCTGTGAGCCTCGCTCGCTCGCTCGCTCGCTCCTCGCTCCCTTTCTCTCGTCATTCCCAACCTTCAGCTTCTCGCGAACCCTCTACCAGCCCCATCAGCTGCCCGCAGAGCCCTATGCCTACCAACAAATAGGTTTTACATAAAATGTAAAGAATAGAAGAAGAAGAAAAAATCTACATTTTAATTACATTTACATTGATTTATAACCTCATGCGTATTATTAGCACCGAATAATTAATCACAACTAAATATTTAGAATAAAATATTTACACTTTCACAAGAAAAGAAAAAAATCCCGTACAGTTTAATTCGAGCCAATTACCATCGCGATGAAGCGGAGGGGGGGGGGAGGCTGAGTTTCACTGGATGCGGATGACTGACCATTCCCTTCGTCAAAAGTCAAGATAATTTTCTGCTCGAATAAGCATTGAGGTGGTGCTCACCTCCTCTTCGTAGCCATGAGCCATTTGCGTAAATTCCACAATCCCATCGTGGAGGCGAGTCTATCTATGAGGACAGCCACCGTTGACCTCTCCGCAAAGCGTTACTCATTGTTCATAATCAAGGTTTTTGGGTCAGATCGCGTTATTTATAAATGTGTCGTAACCCTCCACCACCCGACACGGCCAAACAGTAAAACATGTGTCACGTTTTTCAAAGGACAAAATAATTCACTTCTTTAGCCCACCGGTGTGCTGAAGAGAGAAATAACAGCATTTTAAAATTTGAGTAGTACGACGTTTCGCTGACAATTACAATCAGCTTCATCGGGCATGCTGTTGATTCTCTCTTCAGCACACTGGTGGGCTAAAGAAGTGAATTATTTTGTCCTTTGAAAAACGTGACACATGTTTTACTGTTTGGCCGTGTCGGGTGGTGGAGGGTTACGACACATTTATAAATAACGCGATCTGACCCAAAAACCTATATTATGCACCATGTGACCGTGTACACGAGTTGTCGACTCCCTAGACGTGGCCACGCGTACCCCACGTGACAGGTAGGGAACCCAGTGTGTGTACGTTGAACTTCTTTTGCACCGTACGTAGCCAACCGTGCTAATCGGAGGTGCAGGGAAGAACAACAAACAAAACACTAAAAGCAGTTGTAAAGAAATTGGCATTTGTTTTTGGTTTGCATTGACCGGTTGGTTTGTATTGACAGCTTGATCCTGTCAATACAAACCAAAAAAACACGAATGGTGTTGTTTTATAATCGCATAATACCGTCATCTCTGGATGCAATGGCGCAATGATGCGGTTCCAGGTACCGTTTTTTTCGCATAATAAGAATAATCATAGTTTTAATCGAGCATCTAAGCTGGAGCGTATCTCACGACACTGTGTAACATCAGCTGGTGGTGTGGGGGGGGGGTAAAGCAAGGGCGGGGGAGCATGATGCAGGGCAGAACAAGGGCAGGGTAGGAGCTGTGTACAAGTGGATAGAACCGGAAGTGGGCCTTAAAATGAGCAAACACGGCACCCGGGGATGGGCATCGGTTGAGACCACCCAGGTTTAGAGCAGATGATTTGGTCCCAAACTCCCGCAGTATTTTTCGATTGAAAGCTTTCGTGACTGCAGGGATTCATCTTCTTGGTTCTTTCGGTAAAGTCACGTAGAATGGAAATAATAAAATAATAAAAATAAAACATAATAAAATAATTCTCACAATAAATTATTTTATTATGTTTTATTTTTATTATTTCCACTCTACGTGACTTTACCGAAAGAACCAAGAAGATGAATCCCGCAGTATTGTTATACGCAGATTTGGCATGCGCATACATAGATTCAAACAACATGGAGACAAAGATCCCCCACACTCCCCCCGCCCCCGACCTTATAGCTGTAGAGATAGTCGGAGCAAGTGCCGTTAGTAAGCAGCACCCTTTGAATGCCGGCACGGCACACGAGGGGGTGGGTGGCCAACACCGCGCCGGCCCGCCTTTGTCTCCGGAGTGGCAATGTTTACACAGCGCACCAGGTACTCATTTGAGGCTGAGTAGACCAAGGGGAGGCCCATGGCCAGTTCAGATAATCGTCACCGGTGTTGGCCGTGAGCAGGATTCGAACTTGGTTTGCTGGGTTCGAAGCTCCGCGCCCTAACGCTCACACACACACACACACCCTGCGCTGATACACACACACATACACCCTGCGCTTATACACACACACATACACCCTGCGCTTATACACACACACACACGCCCTGCGCTTATACACACACACGCCATGCACTTATACACACACACACGCCATGCGCTTATACACACACACACACGCCCTGCGCTTATACACACACACATACACCCTGCGCTTATACACACACTGAACCGGTTTGAATTTAAACCCATTGATATTCTCAACATGGGCCGATTTGTGTTCCTCCTTGTAACCACTTTGGCATTGTATTAATTTCTTCTTTGCTGCTATCACCACAGAGTTGCCCATGCAGACGGCTGTGCTTTGAATGCTTCACTGCTGGAACATTTGCGACTGTCTGGTGCTCTCCAACAATGAAAGCATTTGCAGACGACTGAAAAGAAAGCCATTTGCGGGGAGAGTTGCAAACAAAATGGAACATCTTAAAGTGGCCAAGAGCAGTCCAAGGACTCGAAACATTTACTGTTCGCATTGTTTCCTTGGGTCTGCTCTACTGAGATATCCCAGCAGAATTGTATTTAGAGCGCATATGCATAATTTGGATCAACAAAGTATCGTGTGACTTTTTTTTTCCCTTCTGAAAGCACCGCAATTGCGGACGAGTCCTGATTAAAGGAGGAGGCGACCAAACAATTACGCCCGGAAGGGACTCTGCAATTGTCTGGCGAAATTGCACGCGTGAAATCAAGTTAAAGCGACAGTCGCAACACTTGAGAGCAAGACAGAAGAAAATAAAAAGTAATTGTTGTAAAGTTTGCTATTGAATGTTAAGGATAATCAATTCACAATACAGACTGTATCCGACATCAGGGGTGGGAGACCTAGAGAGGCATGGACCTGGATGCAACCCACAAATTCACATTCATGATTATCACGGTCGGCGGATGTACGGTACAAAGAGATTCAACATACACACATACGCCCCGTGGTGACGTAACGTCTGCCACTTTAAAACGGCCCACAAATGATATTTATCCATCACTTCAAGCATATTAGCATCACTAATCGGGTACTAGGGGGGGCACGCCATCACAGTCAATAGTAAACCAACTTTAAACAAACGTTGGGACTCTCAACGCGAATAGCAAAACGATCTGATGTTGTACATCATACATTCCACTCTAGCCCTCACCCCCTTTCTAAATATTGAACCAGCGTGTATGACTCGATCACTCGGAAGGTTTGCTGCGACATCTCAGAGCGAGGATAATCAATTCACAGCTCTGAGATGTCTAGTGCCGTGGCCACTCGCCAACTCGAGAAGTCGCACTGCTCTGCGAGACATCCGAAAGGAAACTTCACTTCTTGGTGCCATTCCACCGATAGCACTATCGTGATATATTATTTTAGAATTTTTCAAAATAGATAATACATATATAATGGGGGCGGTCTGAGTTTTCAGTGGGGGGATGGGGGGGGTGGGGGGAGGGACAGCCACCCTCAAGCCCCCCCCCTCCTCCCACCTCCAACGCTCGGGGGTTGAGCCACACATCGTCGCCCGCACGGTCATCGTCGTCACTCACTCTCTTCGTCCGTGCTCTCCTCGAACGCGGGGTTGTCCAGGCCGCTCTCGCTCACGCCGCTGCCACCGCTCACGCTGCAGTTGGAGCCACCGAGCGACCCCGGCTCGTCGGGCCCCGACGGGGATGAGGACGCGGCCGCCGCAGAGAAGCCCTCTGTGCCACCCGCCTGGGCCTCGCTGTCCGGCCCGCCGGCGTGCAGCGCGCCAGGGTAGATGGTGCCGCGCCGACTCAGCCCCTCCTCGGCCGCGTGGTGCTGGCTCATGCCCACGCACCTGTGCGCACGGTAATTAGCGCGCCGGAGAGGGTCATTACGAGGTCGCGCAGGAAGTGCTCGCCACAAATGAACCGCAAATGCCTTGATGGTCTCGTCAAGGACCGTAAACGATCATCACGCGAACTCCGGTCATCTTCACAGCAGCAGCTTTCGGCTGGCCATCGAACAAAGGTTGTCAACTGCATCGCGCACTTTCAGATGTGCTCCTGCGGACGTCTGACATGCTCTTCCGATAGTAGGAAGCCACTGGAGCTATGCGCCTTTTCAATTGAGATTTGACAATTTTATCCTTTAGAACCCCGTTTTGTGTTTAGTTTGTTGTCCTTCCCCCGCACATCCGATTAACACGGTTTACTACATACTGTCTGAAAGAAGTTCAACATACATACATGCAATAAAAAAGTTAATTATGCAACAAAGATCATTGAAGCGTTGCTCAATATCCTGTTCATAGCACTTTTCAAGTGCTGACGTTTCCACAACCTTATGGCGAGGCTGAGTCAGACTTTGTCTACTCGACAGACCTGCTCTCCACCTGAGGACGGCTGCTTGCGTTGTGGCCGAAACGTCGTGAGAATTATTTTATTATGTTTTATTTTTATTATTTTAGTATTTCCATTCTACGTGACTTTACCGAAAGAACCAAGAAGATGAAGCTGAGTCTGTTCTCGGGACAACCACTGGTTCGGGGCAGCAACCACAATGCACTCCGGAGGGAAAGAGGGCCGAGTCACACGCGTAAAAGTCGCTTAACGATGCTTTCCAGTGTGTGCTGGCTAACTCAAAGGTGGGTCGCTCCGGTACGGCCGTTTCTTGAACACAACGGCCATTCATCTTCTTGGTTCTTTCGGTAAAGTCACGTTTGAAGGGATTTAATAAAATAATAAAAATTAAACGTAATTAAATAAAATTCTCACGACGTTTCGGCCACAACGCAAGCAGCCGTCCTCAGACCTGTTCTTCACCTGAGTATGGCTGCTTGCGTTGTGGCCGAAACGTCGTGAGAATTGTATTTTATTATGTTTTATTATTATCGTGAGAATTGTATTTTATTATGTTTTATTATTATCGTGAGAATTGTATTTTATTATGTTTTATTATTATTATTATTTTATTTCCCTTCTACGTGACTTTACCGAAAGAACCAAGAAGATGAATCCCTGCAGTCACGAAAGCTTTACATCGAAAAATTCGAGCCTCTGTTGTCATTTATTAGCGGGTACATTTTGCCTCAGTGAGGTACCGAGAGGCGGTTTCGAGGATTCAAACGCGAAGCCTTATCAGTTGCGATCCAGTGCTGCGTTCAATAAAGGACCTTGAAAATGTTTTTTTTTTATGCTGCACGCAGCGTAACAGCCTGTGTGTCAAGAACACAATAGCGCGGTGAACATGAGTAGAATTGAAGGCGACTGCCGTTGCTGTGACCAGCGTTCGCTTAGCAGGGTGGCCAACCCTCGTTTCGATACGTTGAAATCAAAGCAAGCATACGGTTGGGTGTTGGCCCTCTGGTACCTGTGAATTGCGAATGTGTAACCAGTAATTCCTTGGTTATTTCGGTAAATTCATGTAGATAGGTACAAATTAATACAAATAATGAATATAAAATAAACAAAAAACGACGACGTTTCGATCACAACACAAGCGATCGTTCATCAGGAAGAAAGAGGGCAAAAGCTGCTGAATGCAGACTGTTTCATAGGGTGTCGTCCTAGGGTCATAAACGACGTGGGCGGGGCTAGTGATGTTAATTATGAGAGATTAGCGTGTTGATGTGAGAGATTAGCATGTTAATGTGAGAGATTAGCGTGTTAATGTGAGAGATTAGCATGTTGATGTGAGAGATTAGCATGTTAATGTGAGAGATTAGCGTGTTAATGTGAGAGATTAGCGTGTTGATGTGAGAGATTAGCATGTTAATGTGAGATATTAGCATGTTAATGTGAGAGATTAGCATGTTAATGTGAGAGATGAGCGTGTTAATGTGAGAGATTAGCATGTTAATGTGAGAGATTAGCATGTTAATTTGAGATATGAGCATGTTAATGTGAGAGATTAGCATGTTAATGTGAGAGATTAGCGTGTTAATGTGAGAGATTAGCATGTTAATGTGAGATATTGGCGTGTTGATGTGAGAGATTAGCATGTTTATGTGAGAGATCAGCATGTTAATGTGATAGATTAGGGCCGGTACATCAGCATTCAATCCTTGTTGGACCAAATCTTTAATGATTGCAACGGCGTCGGGTACAGGAACTTTGGTGAACAAAGAAACTACATCGAAACTAACGAGAAAATCACCTGTAGATAGTGAGATGTCCTTAGTTAAGGATACCAAGTGAGCTGAGTTAAGTACAGATGAGGTGGTCTTACCAGTGAATGGTTGCAAGGACTCAAACAGAAACCGAGCCAGTTTGTAGGTGGGTGGGTCAATGGTGGAGATGATGGGATGAAGGGGTGTACCTTCTTTATGCATTTTTGGTAAGCCATACAATTTGGGAGATCTAGCAGCAGAGGGTTTTAAGGAAAACCGTTTGGTTTGTTCAATTAATGAAGCCGAATCAGTGATGATGTTGTTGTTTTTTGTGACGAAGCTGTTGGTGGGATTTCTTTCAATATTTGTGTAGCTACCATCATTAAGGTGGTCCTGAATGTTGTTATTGTGTGTGGTTTTGTCCATGATGACCGTGGCATTGCCCTTGTCGGCTGAGAGGATGACGATGTCATCCCTCTTTTTTAATTGAGATAGTTCAAAACGTCCATCCTGCTGATGTTGCTGATTTGTGTCTTGGCGTTTTTGAGGATTGACGCGATTTCCAATTTAGCCGCAGCGATGTGTCCCAACCCCTGAAGGGCTACATCGACATGGGCAATTATATCATCCACTGGGATGTGTTTAGGGGTGACTGCAAAGTTCAACCCTTTAGCCAAAACCGATTTTAGGCCGTGGGAAATTGGATTATTACTCAGATTAGTAACAACCTTGTCAACGTCTAATTTTTTAATGTGTTGATCTGGCTTCTTCTTGGAAAGGACGTTAAACTTGGAAATCAGGTTATCTTTACATTTAGCTGACATTGTAGCGGCTGACGAAGCTGTCATGTTATCCACAGGTTCCCAATCCGATGCAGAATTTTTTTCTGTCCACCCAGTGTTGTAAATGGGTACAAGACAGTTGATTGGCCGCTTGCATGTGGTGGGGTAAAGTGTGGGCACTTCCGCCTCTTCCAAGACATCTGGCCAGCTACGGAAGAGCAGGCCGCAAACTCCATGAAGGTGCCGTCTCCTCTCTACGGCTCTGGACAGGGGAGGCCCTTCTGCTACCGGTGGCGTGAGAAAGACATTGCGGGGCCGTGCCGTTATCCTTCATAAAGAGGAAGGCAAAAACCACAGGCGGAGTTTGGCTTCTATACAGGGTGCTTAAAAAATGTTAACACTTTTATGGTACGATCGTTTTTAATGGGAAAATAAACGGATGATGCACTGTAACATGATAACAAATGTGATGTTAATAGCTTCAAAAAGTCAAAGAGTGTCTCCCGTTTGTTCGTCATTGTTGTCAACGCGTGCCTGGAATCTTCTCCCGGTGGTCTCCAGAGCCAGGAGGCGGCACATTTCACGTGGCATTGTTGCAAATTCTCAGAAGTGTTAACATTTTTTTTAAGCACCCTGTGTTTTGGAGGGGGTGAGGGTCAGGAGTTTGCTTTGTGCCTAACATTAGGAATCGCGGGTGCATATAATTAATTCATTCGTAATCGTAATTGTAAACTTCTGAAAATAATACTCTTAGGTTTTTTTCGGTAAAGTCACGTAGGTAAAAAAATTTAATTAAAATTACTGAAAGTAATAATAGAAATAAAATAAAATAATAAATCACGACGTTTCGGAGGCAACACAAGTCTCCGTCATCAGGTGGGACCGTCACAGCTAGAATTGCTGTATCAAGTGAGACAAAGATTCCAAGATACAAGTTCTTAAATACAAGTTAAGGGGGGAGGAGGGAGGAAGGGGGTTATCTGAATGTGGTAGCCAATGACAATAAATTAATAAAGATGTCCAGTTTGGGCGGGGCTTTGCTCCCCCCCCATGCCCCCTCCTCCCGCAAACTCTGCCCATGGTAAAAACAAAAACACCACTGAAAACCCACCGAGAATTACGAGCCAATGAGCAGAGGGGAGCTGAATTGGCCTTGTCACATTGGGGCAATGGGTGAGGCATGGCGGGGTGTACCGAGAACCACCCGGCACAGCTTGGAACAGGAAACACAGCACCGACTTTCACCGGGACACCAGAAATTATCGCCCAGAAAAAAAACGAAGACACACACACCCATAGTTCCCCAACTGTGATCAAACGCACGCATGTGGCGAAAGGCCACATATCACTGAAATATCCTGTGGGCTGGTGGTAATTCACTGGTTACATATTCACAATTCATGAGAGGCCCATTGGCGCTTGGAGGGCCGATGCCTAGCGATGTGATGGCTTTTGCTTTCAACGTATCGACACGAGGATTGGCCACCCTGCTAAGCGAACGCTGGTCACAGGAACGGCAGTCGACTTCAATTCTACTCATGTTCACCGCGCTATTGTGCTCTTGACACACAGTCTGTTGCTAGCTGGCGAACAACGGTTAAACTGTGTGCAGCATCACACCATTTCCAGGGTCCTTTATTGAATGCAGCACTGGATCGCAACTGATAAGGCTTCCTCTTGAATGCGGGAACCCGCCTCTCCGTGCCTCAGAAGGGGCAAAATATACTCTCAGATAAATCGCAGCAGAGGCTCCCACTCTGTCTCTCTCTCTCTCGAGGAGTCTAGGTAAAAGGATAAAAGGTGCAGCTGTGTAAATGTCCACCGATGCCACTGATGGTGAATGTCCAGCGTGCTACCCATTACACGATCCTAAATGGATGATGCTGCCTAAGCTGAACGTCATTCAAACGTTCAAGACAATCCCACAAATATTTCAAATGTTGCATCGGTTTAACCAAGAAAAAC